AATTGTGAAGACCACCTTCAGTGGCATTCAAAGCTAAGTGCCTGTTTTTTATAAGATATCGAGATTTTAGAATTAAAGAACCGCAGCAGGAGAGACTGATGAGAAAACGTTGACTGGAGCTGGCGTACGCTTTCAAACTCAAAACTGTGATTCGGTAGCTAATAAATTTACTTGAGACGGTCTAGATAGCTTCTTCTACTGGTCAGAATTATTTCCTTAATCTAGCACCTTGAGCTCTAGAACTGAAAGTTGCATTCAGATGCAGACTGAGCAGCTGAACTTAATTCTGCGGTGCGGGTGAGTGCTGTAATGTAGATAGATTTTTAATATCTTTTATATAGGTACAATACTTTTGTGAATTTTTTGTAAAGACATTTTTCACTGTTTTATGAACTTTTTTGAAAAATTTTTGTTATATCACTGAGTTGTCTTACGAAATTCAAATTTATGTTGTACAGGGTTCGACTTTCTATGCTTTTCAAAGAGAAAAACACAGAAAATTTAACGAACCAAAAATTGTAAAATTTTGTAGGAATTAAGCTAGCTTGTGAATATAAGGCGAAGAGCTTATCAGGTGAAAAATTGTTGTTTCTTGGTAAAAATTCACTTTTTCTAGATACTAAGACTGTTAAAATCAAAATCAGTTTACTCATTTTCCTTTTTTTTGCTTTTTTAGAGCTTCTATTCGTAGACAAAATAAAAAGTTGAAATTTGTAACCAAAATTTTTCTGTTTTGTGCTATTTTTCTGTTCTGATAATCAGTCACGCAGATACTGAGACTTCTAAAATCAGGCTATAGTTTGTTAGTGAAGAAAGAATATGTTTACTATATATCTTTTTTTCGCTTCACTTTTTTAAATAGTTTTTCAGCTTGTTGAACAATTAGAGTAAATTGATAATTGTAACTTTTCAGTTGAAAATTTACTTTTTTAAGGCATTTATTCTGTAAAAACTGCTTTTTGAAAATATTAAAAATAGTTATATAGGTTTTAGCCGACACACTAATATTTAATATTTGGCAAAGTTATCTTTAGATGGATGCATCCTATATCTGGATACCGCAAGGCTATTGTTACGATACTATGTTAAGCTGATTATAGGTGAGTTCTGCTTATAAAAACTTTAATAGGTGTTATGGTTTTTTAATTAATAGTGTTTTTTCGCGACTAAATAGGTTGACATAAAAATTCACAAATTTCTTACAAGAAATTTGAATTTTAGGCCGACTTCGGCGGTTATTGTTAAATGGTACTAAAGTAAATCAGGCAAATAATTGATTTTCTTCTCTTTCCTGGTGGGTTTTTTTGTCAAACATAATGTTTAATTATTTTTTTAAAAGTTTTGAAAGAAAAGTTATATTAACTAAAAATCCTTTTCTATTAGGAATGTCTAAAAATTTGTTCTTCAGGATTTTTCCGCGTCGGCTGGATTAGTTGTTCTTTCTTCACTTGATTACCACATTCTAGTCTTCCATCATGGCTTCCACAGCTGTATGGTTACTTTCAAGTAAAAATTTATTCTTTTTTACGTTTAGTCTGAATAAGTAGAAATTTTTTAAAATGAATTTTTTTATTTTTTTTTAGTTATTTTTGTAGCCGTAGCTTTTATAGACCTTAACTAGGTACGCAGAATATTTGAAACTTTAAAGACTACTATGAGGAAAATGCCACCACCAAGGAACACAAAAACGGCTAAAAAGAAGACAAATTTTGGGAGAAAACAAAAGTTTTGCTATAAAATGTAGATAACATGCAATCTAGTGAATCTTAGTAATAAACAAAAACAGCAAAAATGTAGCAGAGATGAACCTTTGGAAAAAACCAAATAACTTCATCTCAAACAAACCAAAATAAATGTCGTAAACTGTCAAATAATTGCATTTAACTAGCAGCATGCAAGAGACTGCTAGCAGTGAAAGAGTTGACTTTAAATGAAATCTGCAGCGGGGTCAGTTTTACTAATGCTGAGAACTTAATTCAAAAGATCCGGTTAAAATAAATGCGCTTCTCTTGTTCCTCTTAGGTAATATAAAAAAAGCACCTTTATTTTAAAAAAAAGATTAAAGAGGTACAAATTATAAAGTACTAGTTGAAATATTTGTATAACTGGCTATTATTTATAAGAAGAAAAACTTAGCGTCAGAGTAGGTCGAAATCTGCAGTCAACGAAAGCAGACATTTGACAGTAGATAAACTTTATTTATTTTATTTCTAACACTGCTTGATCATTTTTAAATAAGCGCGATTTTTGTTGATCATAATAAGCATCAAGTTACTGACGAATTCTTTAGACGCTGACAGAACTGAGTTTGCTATACTCATAGAAAAGGCAAGAAGGTTTTTTTTTACCTGTTTAAGTTGAAGGTCTTGTAAAAGTAGTTTTTAGTTTTTTGCATATTTCTAAACGTCTGATAGCAACCGCCAAATGTTCGGCTGTGTCGCTGCTATCAGTATCGTCTTTGATTGAATGACAGATTCTTCATTTCCAGTTACAGGTGCATTACTACTATATAAAAATATAAAATAAAATTCATTTCACACGTTATCAAAGTAAGAAAGCTTTACTGATTAAATGCGTATTGCTCACTTCATTAGCTACGTCTTATCAGCTGGTCAGCCACTAAAAACTGTTAAATTTTTCCATACTTTGTTAGTTATTGCAGTCAGGCAGCATCTCTTTCAAACAAGCTAGTATGGACATAAATGTTAAAATAAGTGCTGACAAAACAATTTCTTTAAAAGTTCAAGCTTCCGACACTGTTGAAGATATTAAGAAAAAAATTGAAGCAGCGGAGAACATACCGGTCGACAGACAGCGTTTGATCTTCTCTGGTAAACAGTTTAAATAATTTTTTCTATTCCGCTTTGATACAGTTTTCCTCAATTTTGTTTCTTTTATTGTAGGCAAACAGCTGGAAAATGAGAAGACGCTTTCTGGATGTGGTATTACAAAGAGATCAGTTCTTCTCCTTGCAGTATTTTCTCCAGAGAACATGCAGATACTCGTGAAAAACTCTGATAAAAAACCATTTTTTTTGGATGTTAAAGGTTCTGACACGATCCAAGTTGTCAAGGAGAAAATCGAGGAAATTAAAGGCATAGAGAGCCAACTTCAGACGTTATCCTTTCAAGGTGAATACTGTGCTCAATTTGTCACATATTTTTATTGTTGTCTTTCTCTTTTTTCACTTCTGTTTCAGAAAAAGAGCTTGACGACACTAGGAGTCTTTCTGAGTACGGTATCAAGAAAGGCTCAGCAATCCACCTTAAAAGTCGAGAACATGAACTTCTGAAATTAAATGCAAAAACCCCCTCTGGAGAGATGCAGGATTTGCTTATTGATCCTTCTGTTACAGTTAAAAAAATAAAGGAAATAATGCAGAAACAGGGCTTGCTACCTCGTGGCGAAACTCTTTTAATTTTTGAAGGCGAGCGTTATCACTGTTCTTGTTATCTGTCGCTTTCACCGTTTTTCTGAAAACTCACATTTATTCGTTTTAGAAAAGATAATTGAAGATTTCCGAAAAATAAGTGACATTAATGCTAAAGAAGGATCAACTCTGGTTTTCCGAGAAAATAAGAGTATGCATATATCTGTAAAAATTTCGGAACAGAGAAGCATTGTTTTAAAAATTGAACCTGGCGATACCACTGAAGATATTATGAAAAAAATTGAGGAAGAAGAAGGGATACCTGTCAAAAAACAACTTTTAACTTTTCGTGGTAAGATATTTTGCTTGCATTTTTCTCTTATATTGCTAAAACCTCTAATGCTTCTGCACACTGCTGATTTTAGGCGAAGAACTTGAGGAACTTCGTCTGCTTTTCACTTATGACATTGAAGAGGGCTCAGTTCTTGAGATTTGCCAGCGGCCAGAAGAAAAGATACAAATATTCGTGAAGGACCTTACTGATCAGTCATTAAAATTTGACATTAATCTTTCCGATCATGTTGAAGTGCTCATGAATATGATCAAGGCAAGGACTAATCTG